CCCCAAAACCCCAAAACCCCGCTTGTGGAATTCAGTGAAGAGGTTTAGAATGGATTAATTAATAAATATTAAAATATCTAAAGCAGAAATCATTATGGAGAACAAATTCCAATTGGCTAAAAACTATATTTTCTCTTAGGATTTGACCATTGATTCTTATATTGACGCTAAGGATTAGGTCAATCATTGGTGTGTCGCTCAAGTATGCGACATAGATGAAGAAAAAGGAGTAATAAAGATACATTTTGAAGGTTGGGGGACTAGGTATGATGAGGTAAGAAAAATCTCTAATTATTTCCTTCTTCTTCTGACCTAATGTTTTAGTTGGTCAAAAAGAACTCATAGAAGCTGGCTCCTTTTAGGAGACATACAGTTGGGTACACTGGACAAAGAAAACTTGCAATGAGAGATTTCAAGATCAATTTACCTTACTTGCAGACAGTAATTTTAAATATGCTAACATACTTTTAGATTAAGACTTAAATCTCAGAAACCATTCATTCTGGATTTAAAAACTTCGAAAGCCCGCTACAGATTTTGTAGTTCATAAGAGGAGAGCTCTATTTTTATGTAGACTCATTGATTTCACTAATAGCTCCAACATCATTCGAAGACTTACCAGGAATATTCGAATTTATGCAAAGTATCTTCAGATTGATCTTCAAATGGATGGAAGTGTTCCCTAACTACTTGAAGGCCTTTTATGAAAGTCAACAACATCCCTAATTATATCTTACTGATATCGATGCTGCCATTGCTAATTGTGGAAATGAACTATTTGATTTACTTGAAAAATGCTTTGGGAATTGCCAGAGATGTGCGAAATTTTTCGCTAAATTCAGCTCCGAATACATTTTTGAAGGTGATAAGGTTTTTGCCTCTAAAGATTAAAAGAAATCAAATGGATTAAGGATGAGCTTTTTGAATTCCTTTGGCAATATGAGAGGATTCGATTTAATTCTTGATTTCATCAATTTTGAATATTAAGATACAAAGTAATATTATTATTAATAAAATTAACTTTTAATGCAGAGGTAAGATGGTCAAGGGTTGCCCCTTCGTGCTGATACTTAAGTTGCTGAGACCTTTCATCAATATTCTTGACCAAACAGATAAGCAGTTCGCATCTAAGTTCTCAGAATAGATCCAAAAAGCTTTGATGTACAGACTTGATAATCTATCAGAAAATGAGATTAAGGAATCTGACAAAGATATCCTAAGAGACATCATTGATATTCTTAGATTTTACATTCAGTAGATTGATCCTCAGAACGCTGATATGATTGTGGAATTATATGAACTTAAGATTGCCTAGAAATATCTTAGATGTCCATTCTTTGAAAAAAGAGTTAGAGGAATCAATGAGTTGAAAGAAATTTACACAAGAGTGACCAATGCACATCAAAGAAATAGGGATTAAATGGAATACACTAAATGGTTAAATCTCGAAAAGTTTTCTTAATGGATATCGTAAGAGGGTATTATTGAGTTTATTTTTGTTGAAAATCCACATGTTGAGCTTATCAAAAGATCTTTCGAAATTCTAAGATTATTAGCATTTGATGAGAGATTTTTCTCAGCTGAAGTAATGGAAATGCTCTGGAATTGCTGTAAAGAAAAGCATGAAGACATAATAAGAGCTACTCTAGATCTCATTCAAGACTTAGTTCTTGTATTACCTCTTGATAGAATTCAATAGTTTTTCAACAAACTCTAGACTATCAAGGAGAGTGATTATGATGAAAAGATGGTCTAATTCCTAAGAAATTATACTCTGAATACTATGAGAAATATTAGAAATGCGAGAAAAGGAGATCAAAGAACAGGAGTGGTCAATAATCTTTTGAGAGGAAAGAAAGAAGTTAAGATTGATGAATCTAAGTACATTGATCTTCACAAATTTTGGCTAGTGTTCCAGGACTCCAACAAGGTCTCACAAAAAATTAAGGAAACTGCTCTTAGTAGCTTAATAGATATTCTGATAGATTTTAATGAAAAGGAGATGAAAGATCATTTCATAGTTCAGAGTTTGGAGAATATCAAAAGAGGTGATACTTTCTAGATTTCTCTAATATTCCTAAGGAGAATATTAAATACTTTCCCTCTAGAGTAGAATTAAAGATTAAAAACCAGTAATTAACCGATCTCAGTCAATGTGGTTCTTACCGAAATATTCAATAAATACGATCTTTTTGATTTCATCTTTACTAGCACATCCGAATATCTTAAGTAAGCCTAGTCCCTCATTTAATAAGGACTAAAGAAACCAGGTTAAGGAGAAAAAATTTTCCAATTGGTGTTCTCAGGTAACATTTCTCACGAAGAATATATAAAGAACATAATAAATTTCATTGATTTCGTACTTGTAAACTCTAGAGTTACCTTAAAATACGATCATGTTGATAAAATGTATAATCTATTTGTCAACAGAGCTATTTCTGAGTATGAAACTAATCTATTCTTTTAGCTTATTACCAAGGAGAATGAGAACTCGAGATCTAATTAAAGGAAGTTTTTACTTGATGATAAGGTTAGATCTGAGGTGTTTTCTAAAATATTCTGCAATAACAAAATATTCAATAGTGAGAAGATAAATATCGAAGGATTTTTGTGCTTCAAGAGACTTTTCTTGATTGTTAACGAGGAAGAAAAATCACTAGAGGTATAAAGAGAGGATAGAATCATAGTCTTAAATCTCAATCAGCTTTAAGGAATCGAGACATTATGGTCAATAGCTATCCAATGTAACAATTAATAAGTCAAAGATATTTGCAAGGATTTCTTAGTCGATCTCTATCTTAAGACAAAAACTAAGTCTAGTCTTTAAAAGAAACAGATAAATGAGTTGTTCCCTTAAAAGTGCTTTTCTTAATTCAAAAATTCTTCAGACAGATCTGACTATTAATTAAATTGCTTAAGACTAATCAAAACTTTCATTAGTAGATTTGATGGAGAACATATTCTCGAAGAAGACATCACTTAATTTGATACTAAAGAAATTAAGTAAATTCAGGTAACGCTAACACCTGATAAAATAACTCAAATGATTCAAATTCACCCTTCTTAAAAGTTTTGGCAATTAAAGAGAAGAATGGCCAATGCATACAAGCTTAAATTAAGTGAATTCTACATTAAGACTAAACAAGGGCCATTAGATGATGCTGTTTATGATGAATTGCTCAAAGACTATAAGATTGATACCCTTCATATACACAGAGTTCCAATGGAGGAGATGGAAAAAGATTTCCCAAGATATATTATTTGCAATAATAATGAATTCCTAAATCAATTCCTTGACCTCTTAAAGTCTGGATAGGAAGATTGTAAAAGAGAAGTACAAAATCTCTTAGAAATTTTGCCAATATCAATAGAAGTTAAATCTTACATTAGAGAAAAGATATTGAACTTCCAGACTACTAATTATAAAGAGTTAAACAAAATCTTCCAATGGAATCCTTAAGAGTTATCTAGAGCAAGCTATTTCTTGATAAGTTTAGAGGAATTGCTTATACCTAGAAAGGAAACTAACAATTAAGAGTAATTACAAATAGAAATTTAAACAAAACTTGAGTTTTGCACAAAGTTCATTTAAAATGGTGGATTCCAGTTCCTGTCAGAAGCATTTACTTAGCTTTCCAAGAAAGACTTGGAAAAAGACATTCTTAAAACCAAAGTACTTACAATATTACTAAAGCTCATAACTCATATGTTCTCACATCAAAAATAAATTCCAATTTTGAAATAGCAGATTGATAGCAATGTTATTCAAACATTAGTGTCTGAGGCCTTGATATTATTCTAAAACCTTATAACAACAATCAGACTATAATAGATTTCTGGAATCTAAATTAATGAGAATAGCGAAGTAAGAACATTAACTAAGGATGTTTAGATTCTTCAAAATGCTTTGACCTTCATCAACAGAGCATTGATTTCCTATCCAAAAGAAATAGGAACTTTATATGAATTCCCTTAAATTAGTGAGATTATCAGAATCGCTCTTATCGATATCGAAGTTGAGGTCATTTAAAGATTAACATCAAGTATCATCTAAGATCTCTGTGTTAAGCTAGAAAATAGCTAATTGATTGAAGTTAAGCCTTCTTTCTTCTTCATGAAAATTTTCATTGATGAATGCCTGAACTTTGCCCTTGATTAATAAAATAGCCTTAAGACAAAAAATTTCTTCAATCTCATGAATTAAGTATTCAATGACACAGAAGTCTGCAGTCAGATTTCAAACATTAGACCTATCCTTAATTTGACCAAAGACTTAGCAAATATGATTTTCTAGAGAGATATTATTGAATTAAGTGCAAGGGATGAAGACACTGTACTCTAGGGTATATTTACCTTCCTTAAAATAATGTTCCATAAGTACCCAGAACTGAGAGATATTTACTAGGATAAAAACAAGCTTCTCTAGTACATTATTCATGATTGTCTTTTCCATAAAGAGACCAGAGGGCATGTTATTGCAAAATAAAAAGCTTTACCACCGAAATGCAAAAATAACAGCACTAGAGACAAGAGTCTTGAGTTACTTAATGAATTATGTTTCAAGAATACAGAAGGAATTCAAATACTCATACGATATTTGAAAAATTATATTAGTGAAACATTCTGGAGAACTCCAAGAAAGAATGATTGGGGTATTAGTGTTCATTAGCAAGAAAGATCTTTGACAGGCTTCGTTGGACTGAAAAATATAGGGTGCATTTGCTACATGAATTCAATTATGCAACAGTTATTTATGATTCCATCATTCAGAAAATCGATGCTTGAAGTTGAAGATCCAAGTTCAGCTCTAGACATCTAAAACAACGATGAAAATGTACTCTATCAGCTCAAAATGATATTTGGTGGGTTAATGGAAGTTGAGAAACAATATTATAACCCTAAAAAATTCTGTGGGGCTTTTAAGGACATTGACGGAAGTCCAATAGATCCCTTTGTCTAAAAAGATGTTGATGAGTTTTTCAACATGCTTATGGATAGAATTGAGAACTTGATCAAAGGCAAGAAAGAAGAAAGAGTCATCAAAAATCTTTTCTAAGGAGTATTTGCCAATGAATTTATCTGCAAGGGTTGTCCACATTACAGTGAAAGAGAAGAGCCATTTTTAGCAATCAACCTTTAAGTCAAGAATAAGCACTCAATCAAGGAGAGTCTAGACTCATTCGTTGAGGGAGAAATGCTAGAAGGAGATAATGCATATTACTGTGAGAAATGTGAAAAGAAGGTTAACACTCTAAAGAGATGTTGTATCAAGAGGATGCCTAATGTTCTCTTTATGGTACTTAAGAGATTTGAATTCAATTATGATACTATGACAAAGTTTAAGATTAATGACTATTGTGAATTCCCAATGTCTATTAACATGAGTGAATATGGGCAAGAGTATCTAGCCAAAAAAGACTTGCTTAAAGAGATGGAAGATAAGAACTTAACTAAGGAGGATCTTAACGAAGATTAAAGGGCAATCTTAGAGAGAAACATTCCTTCTAAATACTATGACTATACCCTTAAAGGTGCTGTTATTCATATAGGTACTGCTGAGTAAGGCCATTATATCTCAATTATCTAAGATCGTGAAAATCCAAATGGAAAATGGTATGAATTCAATGATCATCTAGTCAGAGAATTTGATCCATAAGACATTCCTAATGATGCATTTGGAGGAGATGATGATACTTTCATCAACAACTTCAATATGCAAAATATTCAAGGAGGCATCCAGAATGAATAAATCATGAATGCAATGAAGTAGCTCAAAGCGAAAATAAAGAATGCATATGTATTGATTTATGAGAGAGAAGAAATTTTAGACATGGAAAAAGTAAATGAAATCATTGATGATCCTTAAGTCAACATAAATAAGCAAGAAGTCCTTTACAGATTTGATAATTGCAGGTTGCCCAAGATGAACTCTAATCATATTCAGATTCCTCTCTAAATTCATGATACTATCCTGGAAAAGAACAAGAAATTCTGGCTTAGTAAATTCATCTTTAACAGAACTTACATTGAATCAGTCTACAATATCTTCTAGCATATCATAATAGAGGAAGACACCAACTATGAGATTGCTAGATAAAATGATTTATAATCTCTTTCTGGAACATAGCTTGAGATTTACAAGTTCTTTACTACATTCTTCCTTACCACAGTAATTAGAGCTAAGGAGAGAAAAGCTGTCCCTAGTTACATGAAGATAATAAGAGAATCTTTGAACAAATCTTTAAGTCTTAGTCTTTGGCTATTGGAAACTTTTTCAAATCAGGACTTAATTAAAGAATTTTTGATTGACTGCCCTATTCCAGATATGAAGAGATTTGTAGCTGGTCTTTTAAAAACAGCGATGAGAAAGGTATATCAGTATGAAGAGTCCTATATAAGCTAATATATACAGAAATAAGACTCTAGTATCCTAGATTTCATTACTGAGACTCAAGGTAATCATATTAAGCACCATAGAGCCATAGATCTTAGATCATCCACAACAATGGAGTACTCAATAAATTCAAGTCCCTTGTGCTCAAATCTAAATTTGTTAGTGATGTCTCACCATACTAAGGATATTCCAATTCTAATAATGTTCTTCAACTCTTTTGTGCACTTGAATGTATCACCTCATTACTTTAGAAATTATCTACTATGCGGATAGTTCTATTAAGTGTTCTCAAGATTTGCAGATTTGGGTGAATAGGCTAGACTCTATATGCTTAAAAATAAAAGTGTTGGTAGACTCCTAGACCTATTGATGAACGGTGAGGGAAATAAGAACTTCCTTCAATAGCATGATAAGTATAGAAATATTACTCTTAGTCAAATACCTCTCTTCAAAATAGATAAATCACTCTATCTTGAATCAAAACTAGAGAAGAACGATGTGTTCTTAAGTATTGCTGAAAGGAAGAAGAATCTCATGCAAGCAACTGCTCCATTCTAATTCCTTGTTCATTCTATCTCAATACTAAGCAGATCTTGTAGATTTGTGATATCCTAAACTTAAAATCCCTATGCCATTGACCAAATTAACTACAAATTAGATGAGGATGAGTTATCGATGATTATTGATCATAAGAATAACTGCTGGTGGAATAATAGCAATACTCGCCTTTCAAGAAACGTAATTGCTGAGATGTTTGCTCATATTTCCTTTGATAATAAGGAATTCAGTGTCCAGGTTTTGAATACAATCCTTGATGGCTTGAGTAAAGTCTCTTTCGAAAGCATGAAGTACTTTGAAAGGGCCTTAATTAAAATGCTTATGATTAAGGATTAGTATCAAATTGATAGAACAAAGAAAGCTATTTAATGCATTTTAGATCTTATGAAGACAAGCACTTCATATTACAAAGACGTTGATTCTTTGATAGATATTGTCTACAAGTTAGCTTAGAGATCTCAGCTTGTTGTAGATTTAATGACTAAGTAGTCTGCACTTTATAGGTTTATAGAATAATGGTCAAAAGAAAATCCACATACCCCTCTTAATTAGACTAAGACAAGAGTTTTCAGATAAGGCATCATTAACTGGAATAACTCTAAGTTTAATGGTTAGTTCAATCAAAACTTCATTGATAAGGTTAGTTAATACACCAAGGACAGACTCTTAAAGATCTAAAGTTTAATTAACAAGGAGACAACTCCAAATGAAAATCTTTATGATTCAGATGACGATATGTACAGCCACGATTTCTAGGAGAAAGAAAGAGTTGATTTCGCGTAATATTTCCAATATTATTTATTATTCTTTTAGTGATCAATAAGATAACTGGTACACTGGCTATGTTGAAATTTGCCTGGATGAAATGGTAAGATGTCATGCTGATGTTTAAGGCAACCAGAAAGTCAACCCAATGTGGATTGAAACTGAGGGAGATAAGATAGCACCACCCAATACATACTCTACCAGTGAGAAGAAGAGACTCCATCAGTTTTACATCAGACATCTTAACAATCTCCTTAATTCATCAATGGGAAACTGATTAATTCCTAGTTAGAGATATGATCTAAATTTATATCATTTATATTTCAATTTACCAATTATCTTAAATCGATTTTAACTATGGGGTTTTGGGGTTTTGGGGTTTTGGGGTTTTGGGGTTTTGGGGT